TTGACGTTTCCTTTGAATTTCACATAGTCTTGCTTTCCTAAGAGGTGCTCTTATCCAGGATGGACTGCAGTTTAGACCTCGCATAGGTCTTAACAACACCCCAAGCGGGAGTCGAACCATGACAATGTAGTGTGTAAACTCGACCCGTTAACCGCTACGCCACATTGCCACAAGTGCCCTTTAGTCACAGGGCACCTGTTGGTCAGTTAAATAAGAAAACACCCTCTGTTAAATTTGCCGACTTGCTGATGGTTTCGAGCCATATTGATGTTGGTACTATCCTGCAGGAAGGTAGCATTGTTGAACTAATTGCTGATAAACTTATATTAGATGTGCTTGCCAGTTAAACGTGTCACCTCAGGAATACTAGGACTACTAAGCAAAATTCTACCCTAGCCGAAAGATTCGGATTGTAACATGAATGTCCATCCTCTTTCAAAGCGCTTAACTTTTATTCAATGTACGAATTTACAGAGCAATCACTTGCAATCGGTGTGCGGTCCTTAAAATTCAAAATCCTATATCATCTATCATGCTTATTAATAGGAAAATTTGGTTAATGACGTCGAGCTTAGCAGATTTCGAATAAATGTGTCCTTTGCGTAATCTTAGAACCAAACTAAGAGAACGACATAATTAAGCAAACTTATTTAGGGGTAATTACTAGTCGAAAATGATACAAACCATACTCTAGATAAAATTATATTCTTTAAACCGGAAGAAGTTGACAATATAAATTTTTTGAGAGTTTAGATGATCTATTTTACATAGTTATAATCCAGAGTTTGATCTACAAAGAAAGAATTTTAAGAGGTATATAAGCAAGGCATATAGTTATGGCTTAATTGAATATATAAAAACCAAGATAGTATTGCCCTTCTTTTAGTCGTCTGACCTCGCATCCACATAAGTCGTGTCATCAAGGCTGCTTCCAAGAGTGTACCCTTCTACACATTCTTTGGTAGAAAACTCATGATAATCTCCAGCGTCTGGTCTTGGACTTAGTATATTCCCAGACGTTTCGCTAGTATTATAGTCGACATTGTGGGTCTTGCCAACTTTAGCACTCATATAATAAGGGAGCTGTGCTTAAATTGACAAGGCGTACCGACGATGCCGAATATACTACCAGCAAAGCGTCTGAGAATGAACCAGATTTAAAGTCCGACTACTTTGACAGAGAATTTCTAAAAGGCGTAATAATATTCCATGCCCTTTCTGTCTGCAAATAGGCCCAGACAACTTATATCAGATTCTTCCACGCAGCCTTGACGATCCATTTGTTAACTCAATGGCCAACTAATTTTGTTGGACTGCAGCCACCAAATCTGCTATATCCGAGGAGCTATTTCTCATAATATTCTTCAAAATTTTTATATGGTAGCTTCATCAAGTAGGGAGAAAAAGTATACGTTCGGCATAGGTTGGTAAATCTCGAGGTTAGATAGCTACCTCAAGAAGTCGCTAAAATTTGGTATATGGCTGATTTTCAATGCTTAATTCATGATATTCCTTTACCCACAACATGATGGCATCCAATTGAAGATCACATAGTGTCGAAATAAAAGATACATTTTTAGGGCAAATTTAGGAAATAAAGACTAGTCATTAGCTTCCTTGATTCATTTAGCTTAAAGTAGTTATAAGAAAAGTGTACATCTAGGAAGTCTGTTATATGATAGATGAAAGTTCAGCATGACTACAGCGTAACCGAACTTGGATATCTTGAGGACTGCAAAAGTCTAAATTTTGCAGTGAAGTTAAACTGAATATGGTGTATGGGAATCTGAGATCATCTTATGTTGAGAGAGATCTATTTGCACACATTTACACACAAAATGAAGGAACAAAGCGAATGAAAAAATAGACCAAAATAAGGATGCTAAAAGTATAAATAATAAGTTGTGTCTTATGTTTCATACGATTGGATCACAGGAGAGTAAAGTTGCATCTGTAGGAGCAGTTGCCGACCTGCAAACTGGCAATCTAGCCACTGGGTAGTTGTCCCAGTTTCTGTATCCTCAGTGCCAGCAGCAAACTTGTGCTTGGAGGCATAGTTCGGCCGCAATCTAAATTGAGGCCTTGGTAGGCTAATGAGACGCTGAATAAAAGATATCAGGTGTGTGGGTGGGCCGGGATCCTGAACGGTTTGGGAAATGAGCCAGTAATTGAAATAAAAAAGCGTATGGCTCATTAGGTGAGATATAAAACAGAAAAATGCTAACAAATAAATAATTATTTAGAATGCTTTCAGTGGCAATAGTCTTGGTAAGAAAATAAAACAATAAAATTAAGGGTTAGGAAAGATATAAAGAAGAAAAAAACAAGAAAAGTGGAGATTTCAATTAAAGAGCAATATACTAATAAAGAATAAAAAAGGCTAAATAAATTATATATTGAAAACAAAAAATACAATTTTGATAGGAGCTATTAAATTTTTTTGTAATCAGAATTTTCGTGCTAAACGAATATATCATTCATAGCAAATATGTCTCGAGACTATCAGAAAATTTTAAATAAGTGGTCTAGTAACTTTAGGTCGCATAAAGTCATGGGAGACTAATAGTTGAATTTTCCCACCATTACAAGAGTACGCCTCACGATGCAATTAATCTAGATTGGGATGGTTAAAATTCTTATGCAAAATCTACTAATAGTAAAGTAGTTGATTGTAGTGGAAAAATACAGGTTTGCCTCATCGAGTATCCCACTATAGAATTTAACATAAGAGAGACCAGTCTAGTAGCGAAATTTACGCATGCTCTGTGATCCACTGGCACTCGTGGCAGTGTGGAGTGCTGGTAATGTCAGGATTATAGGTTACGATACTTAGGTTCGCTGTGGAGGCCTGATGGGACCAAGGCGTATTTGAAAATGCAATCTACCCTGAATAGAAATACCTTTTGAGAACAAGGCTGAGTGAAATTCAAAAGCATTGTGAGGAATATTGATATCACTGGCAGAGGCTTCAACTATCGGTCCCTCATTACCTTATGCGACCTAGAGTAACCAGAATTTATATTCAAAAATGCACTTATAGTATATCCTATACAAGCGTGTTGACTATCATAGATTCACTGAGGCTTGCTACTCAAAATTCCAAAGAAAAAATAAGGTTTCCCAACGCAATTTGATCATCAAATTGTCTAGTTTCTCAAAAAGAGACTTAAGATACGACTTCGTGCTAGCCACGTCAGAATCCTTTATGCGAATGAATTCAATAGAAACCAATCTTGGTAAAATGTTGTAACTTAAAGCCCAAAAGCCAACATAAATTTTGGTTGATCAAGTCTAGGCGAGGTTGACAGCTGAATGAATTAGTTATGCGAAGTAGGACATGGGAAAAGGTCTCAGTCTGTCTATCTTTGACTAAATGGATTCCGTCTGAAAATGTATTCCTCAGTGGAGAGATATTATTCGCAATAAGGCCCAAAGGATAATTATTTTCCAGGAATATATTTGTCAGCCGTTGCAACTCTTTAGTCAAATG